TTATGAGGAGTGTCTGGGGGAACTGGGGTTGTTTAGTCTGGAGAAAAGGAGGCTGAGGAGAGACCTTGTCGCTCTCTACCACTGCCTGAAAGGAGGCTGTAGGGAGGTGGGTGTCAGGCTCTTCTCCCAAGTAACAAGTGATGAGGAGGAAATGGCCTCAAATTGTGACAGGGGAGGTTTAGATTGGATATTAGGAAAAATTTCTTCACCTAAATAATTGTCAAGCATTGGAACAGGCTGCCCAGAGAAGTGGTTGAGTCACCATTCCTGGAGGTATCCGAGAGACCTGTAGATGTGGTGCTCAGGGATGTGGTTTAGTGGTGGACTTGGCAGGGCTAGGTTTATGGATGGGCTCAATGATCTTAAAGGTCTTTTCCAACCTAAATGATCCTATGAGAAGAAAGCATCCTGTTTTCCTCACAAAGGGAGAGTTTAGGAAGTTAGGTTATATTTCCCAGACTCCTCCTGCTGCTCTCTGAGGGTGTACCCTTTCTTAACCCTGCCTTGATGATGCTTGGATGTATGAAAAGACCTCACTCCCTCTGATTCATTTCCTTCCAAATTATATTGTTATAGACTCCAGTAAACAAACAAGCTCTGTAAAGCATTATTTTTCTTTTAGGAAAAAAACAAGTGAAGAAAAGTATCTCAGAAAAAAACTAAGCCAATCCATATGCATGCCTGTTGTTCCCTGAGACTTATTGTTCCCTGGGTCTGGTGACTCTGTTGGCCTGTCTTCCTGACAGCTGCCTTTCCTGCTCTCCCATGAAAGACTTTTTATTTTTTAATTAGTCATTTTAATTTAAAAACATTGTCTGCCAGAAACAGGGTCTTAATTTTTCCTGGAGATAGGATATATAATCCTCAAAGCTTGCAGTTTTGTCCCATTGTCTAATAATTGCCTTCAGAAGTGCCTTGGTTAGCACTGACTTATTTCAGTCTATTGTGTTGATTCCTGGCTCAGTCTTTCCCACAGTTCTCTAAGCTGTTGTGGTTCCAAGACAAATTCTCATAACTGCTGTATAATAATTTTGCATTATGGCCAGATGATATGCAGTGTTTGTAGGACTGTTGAGTGTCAACATTTTATTTGTTACCTTGCTATCTATACGTATATGTGAGGTTTTAGAGTCTATAGGGAGCAAGCACTCTATGTATTATATAAGTGAGAGTAACAGGAAAAAAATTTTTTAAAAAAGGGAAAGGAATGCAAAAGTGGGCTGAGAGCAGTGGTGAACTGGGTGGGTAAAATATGGTCATTGACTTTACACAAACCAAAAATTGTAAGCAAAAGCCTTGTAAAGAAATTGTAAAAAACTTTAAGAATAACAATAATGCTGGATAAGCCTTTCTTTGATGATCATAAATGTTCCATTTAAAGTGGGATGGAAAGATTGCATTCTTCCGTTGTTTTGGATTCACAGCAAAGAGCTGGGTTTCTTTTCGTCACTGTCCTGAAAGGCAGATTTCAGATGTAGAGAGAAGTAGTATGGGAAGTACAGAAACTTTTCTTACCAAAGCTAGGCTTCTACTCAGGGACTGTCAAATTTATTGGATTTCTTTTTAGTTTGTGAATCTTTGTTTTAATGGAAGAGGAATAGAGTAAGCTTACAGAAGAGTGCCTTATCATTTTAAGGTATTATTTGTTCTTCTTGGTGCAGTGGTATCTGCTTATTTAGCTTTTTGGAAGGTAAAACAGTGGATTATTCCACAAGGCCACTGAGCAAACCTGTCTGCTTATGTACATTTTAGACAGAAATTAAGCATTTGTGGTTAGATTTATTTTTCTTTGGTTATGTAGTCCTGTTTCAGTCAAGCTGTAGTGCAAGAAAATGACATAAATGTTACATATGCATAATTTATCTTATGGGAATTCTTTTTTTTTTAGTACAGTTGCTACTGTAAATTAACTTTTAGAAACAATGTAGTTAAGGGAAAACCGAGGAATGTGTCTCGTGCTTTATAATGGGACTTTTGTGCTTGATTCTGTGCAGTTATAAATGACTCTACTGTTCGACACTGTGTTTAAGAAAATGCAGCTTAGAGATTTGGTTGTTGAAAAGATGATTTATTGCAGGGCATAAATATTTTAAAAACAATTCTTTCACTTATTCTTGGCCTTCAGGAGCAACAAACTTTTCTTTTTGGCTTCAGTTCTTTGATCAAGAATAAGTCTACTCATGCCAGTTTGTTGAAGTCTAAAAGTGTGTATTTATTTCTGTCCAAAAAACATTGACTTGACTTGACTTGATCTTTGAAAATATATATGCTATATAAATAAATACTGAGATAAATAAAGTCTCCTGTTGGAGTAGGAGTGCTATACTTAATAATGCAAGGGACACTCCTGTTTGACTTAAGGGGCTTTGACATGGTGTGCAGTTAAGAGCCTGAATTCTCCTCCAGTCTGGGTTTTTGTCCTGCCTATTTGCTAAGCTGGTGGCTGCCCATCTGAACATGGCCCTGCGAAGTCCTTTCTTGGAGTGTTTTCGTTGTCAGTAGAACTTGAGCTAAAGAAATTAAAACAAAACTATTCAAAAAGCTAGTTTAGATCAAGCTGAAGAGATTGTTTTAAACTTTCTTTGTAAAGCAGACTTATTTCATCTGATTAATATTCAACTTAAGCTAGGATAAGTGTGTTGGAATATTGTAAAGAAATCGGTTTCAAAGCGTTAATTAAACTATCCCATGCAGACAATTTTTAACTGTCATTCTGTAATTTCTTTAGTTCTGACCTCCATCTTTTACCATCTTCAATTCTGGGAACCAAGATTCATCTCTTTCTCTGAACTGAAGAGAAAGAAGTATTTCCTATATTTGAAGTTATCTGGGCAATAAAAAATTGAATTTGATTATTCAAACCCCAAGGATATATGCTTGATTCAGGTGCAGTTTTGTCTTGGAACCATTTCCCCTTGTATGTTTTTCTTTCACTTTTTCAAATAAAGGAAGTGTTGAGATGAAACTCCTTTGGACTTCCATAGGTGTCTTCTCATTTCTGAGCTTGTCTGTCACACTCTGTCTGTCCCCAGTGACTGATACCCATGCAATGAACAGGGTATTGATTTCTTGAAATATATAAACAGTCAGAGATCATTTCGCATTTAAATACTTTTTACTGATAGATTTGGTTGTCATATTTGTTTTTCTCTTTCCTCCAGCCTTTGGGAATGCCAAAACTGTGAGGAATGACAACTCCTCCAGATTTGTAAGTATTTTCTTCAAGGCTGAATTTGAATTTCTTTTAGAGGAGCGTGTTATGTTGTTGGCCGTTTCCACTTTACCTTTTATCAGCCATCAAGGCATCTGTAAAGAGGGAATGAGTAATTTGGAGAGAGAACTTTCTTGTAGTTGTCTGAGGACCATGGTGGTTGGAGAAGGCAAACACCTTCAGTAGCAATCAATATTTCATTTTTACCTGCAAGTATGTTCTCGTTCCCCAGTGTGTTACAGTGCATTATTAGCAGTCACCCTGTTTTTAAAAGATGTTTCACCTCTTGTGAGAAATCTTATTTTCTGATGTGGGCATAGAATTCTATGGACAATCAAAGTAGAGGTTAAAAAAAAATTAGGATGTGACAGTTTGTGACCAGATGAAAACATAATTGCAGCACAACTAGCTGCTTTAATTTTTTTTTTTTTACTGGTGACTTTAATGTCAGTGACCATGTGCCTAGCAACTGGTCTGCTGAGCAAGTCGATTTTTCTGCATGATCTCATTTTCCATCTATGTGTGTACTTTTTTTGGTTAAAATTTCTACTTCAGGTTCTCATTTTCTCTCTGCGATGTTTCAACCTGTTTTTACAACTTCCTTTATAATATAAACATTTGTGATGTTACTTCTTTGTTTGTATTCTTTATAATTAACTGATTGGATTTTGGGGTTTTTAGCATGAAACAATGTGAAGTTACAGACATTGACAATTGCAAAAAAAAAAAAAAAAGTTGAATCTAGAGTTGGGAGATTCGGAAGTATGAGTATTTCTCATGGTTTCTCCTGCTAAAATCAGAGGGCGTAATGCAACTTTGTAATTTGCTCACTTGTGTGCAGAAGGGTAATATAGGGAGAAAATGTGTAAAGTGGACAACAGAAGACAAATTAGTACACTGGAAAAATGGTGCGTTGCAAGTGAAAACACCTGGATAAAAGCTTGCACTATGGTGACACTGGAGAGTGGATTTTTTTTCCATATGGGAGAATTCTCTCCCCTTTTCTTCTAATTCTCGGGGGCTGATGATATTGTTTCCACACAGCTAGGAATGCTCCTTCTGCGTCTGTCATCGCCCCTTCTCGTGAGCAGAGCAAAGGGTCTTCATTGCAGGCCCTCCAGGCTCCACGAATGTCCATGCAAGCAAGGTCAGGACCGGAATTTGAGGCAATGTAGATTTTGGTTTTTTGGGTTTTTTTTTTTAGAAAGAGTAGAAAAACTGCAGCTGTCAGAGATGACGTGCTACAGAAGGAGGAGGAGAGAGCGAAGAGGAGCAGAGGTGCCGTTTGCAAACAGAAGTCTTTCCAGGACAAAGTGCAACCAACTCGTGTTTTGCCTTTCAAGTCCTTGCTTATAAACACAAAGCTAAAAATACTTTCGGAAACATCCAGCTGGCCCAGTCCTTGGGAAATGAAAATTTAATTATCTGGTTTAATTCTTTATCTCAGAAATTTGAATCAGCTCAAAATTAACTTCAAACAAGAAAGTACAAGTACTGTCCTGTCTAGCCTGCCTCAGCTGCCAGCAGGAGAAGAATGGAGTTGAAGCAGAGGCAAGCCAATCTTGACAAAATACCCAGTAAATTAGAAAATTTCTTTGAGGGAGTCAATGTAAAGTTCTTGTTTTTCATGTTCTGTAATTAAAATCAAAAAAGAAAGAAAAAAAGAAAACTAAATGCAGTGAATAAGGAAGTATAATCACTAGGCTTCTCTTTTCAATACATCTTTTTTGTCCTTTGTTAAATAAGCACCACAGGGTGGTGAGATCATTTCTGTGCGTGGCTTGTGGAATTTGATTGAATTACTACCAGCAGTTTTATCTTTATAAACTTCCCTACTCATGTGAGCTGCGCTGCTTTTGCCTTTTCTACCCAGTATGAGTCTGTCGATTTTGTCACTGCTCAGCGTAGCTGTTACTACACTACACACTTGTCATATAAATTAAGATGATGCAAAGACCAGCGCGATCATCTGTGATGTGGAAAAGTCAAACAGAAGTCAAGGAAGCACACTGCACCAGTACAGCTAAAAATGAAATCGCTTTTGCTATGACAGTCTGTTAATTGTTGCCTCTGATCTCCTGAGTTACGAGGCAAAGAGTTCAGTGGGAAAAATCCATCACTTTTACAAGGCAGGCACATGCTTAGGGACAGACACCCCACGATTACTAACGGGAATCGTTGCCAGCCAGTCCTTCAAGCCAAGCTGAGCAGCTATCCTTCATCTGCCTTGCTTCATGCTCTGAGAAGATTTTACGCTGAGAAAATAAGTCTGCATGGAAGAGAATTTCTTCCTGTGTTCTTCTGTTAAATACCCATGTTAATACCTACATGGCCACTCTTATTGCTTAGTGTTCTTGGTGTTCTGGTGGAAGTTTCTATAATGTGCTTTTTCTTCATATAACCGTAGAAACTGAGCAAATTACTGTGTTGCATTACAAACCTGATTAAAGCTATTCTCATGAAAATATCTGGCTGTGATAATGCAATTGTCTTAGAAGCTTTAAATAATTTTCTGTTATTCAGAATTTTATGAAATGTACAGAAGGTCGACAGATTGCTCTTTTAGCCTGTAAAAAAGATCATGTAACTTCTTAAAAAATGTCTGGGGCAGTTTTTCTTAAGCAGAACTTAAGAGTCTTAAAATATGTTGCTTTCACAGGGAAAATACATGGATATTGAGTTTGATTTCAAGGGTGACCCACTTGGAGGAGTTATAAGCAACTGTGAGTATTGCTCTTGGTATCAGCATAAATGTTTTATTCAAAAAGGCAGATGGTTAAAATATTGAAAAAATCAGCTGCATTTGTCTAATCAAATCTCTCTCCACTATGTGATAAATTCTGCTTTATAATTTTATTGTTGTTTTGGTGCTGAATACTGTACCTTAGAGTAAGTGAAAACAGACTTGAAGAAGTAAGCATGAATAATCAATGTACTGGATTGTTCAAAAGGTACTGAGTAATGTGTGCGGGTTCAGGCATTGTCTCTGAAGCTGATAGCAGGTGGATGAGGGTATCTGAGGCTCTTTTTGTACTTGAATCCCTGGACCCAAGTAATCCCTGTGTTACTTGATTTGATGGGTCATGTATTTATGGTAGGTAATGTCCGAGATACGCTGGTTTGTAATTCATAAGAGTGATACAAAATATGCTGGAGAACACCATGAGGTGGGCATGTTTATTTGGAATCAAAGCATTCCATACTAATTTTAACACACCTCACAGTGTAGGAAAAAACTGTGAGAGAGGATGAGCAACTGCTGAGTTTAGGGAGGGAAAGGTGGCCTCAGAGGTTGTTAATTGATGTGAGGATGCTGCTATGAAATATATAGCAATTCAGAAATTTTAACCAGCTCTCTTAGGAAGAAAGAGGCTGGGAACTGAATGCCAGCCCAGGATACTTTGACTTGCTTTCCTTTTGAGAGCTTAAATGCAGCTTTTAAAATAAATTGCTCTTTTGTGCTATATAAAGCTATGTTTGTTTTTCTTATTTTTGAAAAGGGATGGAGGAGGGCAGTGAGTGACTGACTATACTAGGTGTCATTGACCTAGCCTCGACCTCCCTTCCCACTCAGCCAAATTCAGCGCTGTTTCTAAAGACTGACTTTTGACTCCGTTGGCATTTTACTGGTTGTGAAATAATGACAATCATCCATGATGAACTGAACTGTCCATATATAATATAAACATGGGAAAACATTGTGCAGTATATTATGCATAAATATAGGTTTTGGGGTTTTTTTCTTAGGCAAACATTTTTTCTGGACCAGGTCACCTTTTGGCACAGTGCCTGAAAGAGCGTGATTTTTGTGACAGAGATCTTGAAACTCAAAGCGCTCACTGTTTAAGTGTTTACAGCTGTCTATTAACTTTGACATTTGGCAGTCAACAAAATTAGAGGCCAAACATACTCAGTATATTCATCAATAACTAAATGTGAACAAAAAGGTTCTAGCTGGCTAGCTGGGCTGTTTGATTCTTTTTGTTTCACATTCGAAATAGATAGATAAAAATTAACCCTCCTTTGTAGAGTGGACATTGAACAGTTTGTCTTTGAAAGTACCATGCTGAGTCATGTAATTAAAATATTGTGTCATATCTAAAGGCAATCCAAAGAGTTACTGTATAGTTTATCTAAATCTTTGCATGTTGTAATTATAACATTACGTGTAATTATAATGATGTGATGACATATGTAATCAAGGGCAGACATATTTTTAGATCTTCCTAAAAGATGCCTATTTTAGGCATTCTCCCTGTCTTCTCACAGTTAATAAATACCTGATAGCAAGAAGATGAATTTAAATTTAACAATAAAGACCTTATGTGTAAGCTCTGTTGTGGAAAAGATGTTACTTGTTGAACTGTGAAACGCCCCATACTTGACAGGGTATGTCACAGGTAAATACTGAGTTCCTATAGCTGTGTGTTAATATATCTCATCTTTGATTCAATGTTCCCAAAATTTGATAGTCCATCTGCCATCTTTTAAGGGTTTGAATTCTGTCCAGGTTTGAAACAATTTGTTGTCCTGCCTTAGATCTTTTCCCCACTTCTGCAGCACTGCATGGCAACAGAAATTTTTTGGTTGTGAGGCATCACCATTCTGGGGATATTGAGGGCTTAAAATCTTTTACACCACTTACAATTTACTCTGGTTTTAGTCAAATTTAGGATTTGCCGCCTTAATTCATCAAATAGGAAGTCAAATAGTGCTGAAGTTTCCCATACTTTAAAAGGGAAAGTATGATTAGCTTGTTCATAAATGTTCTTTGCGTTCTGACCATCTGTTGGTTTAGTGTTAACATGATGTGAAGTTCATATCACAATATTTTGATTAAACTTTAATAGTTGTATCTGAGAGCTTGATTTCCAACCATCAATTAAGTTAGTGGGCTTTTTGGATTGCAGCCCGTGTCACCAAGCTGTATTTCGTTCTGTGAGTGGCTGGAAGCAGACATGGTGAACATCTAGTTTATTTTGGTGGCAAGAAGGGTAATGAAGATAAGCTACAAATTTTATCAGACTGGTAAAGATAAGCAGAGATCCATTAGGCTAAAAGGTCTGGTTTGAAATAGCCTAGGCTGTCCTACTCTGAAATGCTGTGAAGCTCTGTGAAAGGCTCATCAGTCTGCCCACAACCCTTCCTGTAGTGACTGATGCTGTTGGGACCTTCCCTTGGGCCGTTCTCCCGGTGCCCTTCAAAGAGCTCGTACTTCTTAATGACGGGTTCACCTACAAGTGAACCTTTCACAGGTTGGAGCTAGAGGGTAAAATTATCATGACAGTGCATACTTGCGTGTCTGTCCTGTCCAGTTTGCAGTGAATGGAAATGTCCAGTGGCTTTAGCAGGAGCTGACAGATCTGAAATGTTTAATGTGCTGTAAGTGGAAGGGTAAATCTTTTGAGTAAAATTATACTAGTAGTAGGGATAGCAAATTGGAAGGGATTGTAATGGAAGAGGTCTCTAACATCTGTTAAGTCAGAACTGGTATGTTCCCAAACTGAAGATAGTTTTATATTTGAACAGCATAAAATACATATAGACTCATTACGTGTACATTACACGGCTGCTTAGAGCTTCTGAGTGCACTGGTTTGTCAGGCATTTGACATATTGCTATATCGTGGTGTACAGTCATGAAACTGAGAGTGGAAAATTTGAGATTAAGGTGATTTATGCAGTCTTTAAGTATAATACTTCAGTCAGGAATTTTTTCCCCTTAGACTACAAAAGAAAAATTATTTCAGGTAGCAGGTGTTGTACATGTTTGATTCTATGTCAGCAGCAACTGAGGCATGGGGGTGAGCCAGAGAGTGAAGAAGGCTGAGTAAGCTGAGGTGTGTGGTAAGACTGAGTTGTTTGCATCCTCCCTTTTTGTTAGTGTTCTGTGTTTTCCTAATGGGTGGGAGATGCTGGAATCTGTGTAAGGTGAGGTGCACAGCCCTAGTGCCAGCCCATCCATTCACGAGCTGACTTGTTTCACGTGCATGGGGTTAGAAAGCCCAAATGACTCTTGTGAGCTCTAAACACTAAATCCTTGCTGCATGGTCACCTGTGACTGTAAATATCTCGTCTCTGTTTTGTAACAAACACCAGTCCCTGCTGAAAGGTATGCTGCTGCTCTAAAATGCATTTACAAACAGGTGAATTGCATTTACATTTTCTCTTGCTGGATTGAGTATGAGGTATATCTGCTCTTTCTGTCCTCCCACGGGATGTTTACGGTTGCTGCTGTTGCAGTGAACACTCTTGTCAGCACTTACGCGCTCAGAGGTTTTTTCCAGAGCGCTTGTGAAGAAAAGCAGTGGGAATGTTGGGTAATTAACTTGCTTTTGCCCAAGCGTAATACTGTGGAAATAATTTACAGAAACCGTCAATACTGTTCTTAGTTTTCCATTTATTATAACTACTGTGTTAGCGGGGATGGGAGCAGGAGGAAGGAGAATAGTCGTTTCTTTTCCACCTGTAATTACAGAATAAAATATATTTTATGTAAAAATAGGTATGTTTGTTTTCAAAGTAATAGGTGCTAATCGCAATAGCTCTAAAATATGACTTTCTATCCCCAGGTGCTGCATCTGTTTTGTACTCAGGATGATGCTTGTGTGCACACTTGGTTCGTTAGTTTTGTGACCGGTTTTGTGTACACTTTATTTTACGGTTGAAATAGTTTTGTATAGTACAGTCCAAAATGTTTCATCCGTGCAGTTGTTTCGGTCTTTTGAAAAGCAGGGATCTTGTAATATCTTTCCCAGAATATCTCTAAGTCTTGAATTTTCACATTT